ATTGTGGGCTACTTAGTTGATAGGATCTGGCTTCTGAGGCCTGTGAGATCCTCATCCAACTTTTCATTTTGGGCAAGATGGACCAGCGTTGCATTCCACTGTTTTACTGCTTAAAGCATATTTATTTTGTATTTATTTGAACAGAGTTATGTCAGACTATTTTTATAGACTTGTTGAAATATTGTTACTGTGCTTGTATTTCTCCTGTTTTAAAAAGTTCTCTATTTTTTTTCTCTTACATCACATAGCCGAGTTGTGGGGAGGGATGCTACAAGTTACTTGTGTACTTCCCCTTTGGGACTTGGACTGCCTTTCCCACATCTTGGGTTGTTGCTGGAGGACCTCAGCCCAGAGAAATTCTGTAGCAAGAAGCCATAGGAGAGAAGGGAGCTGGTGAGGAGCAGTACCTGGGGAGGAGGGGAGAGGGTGCACTGTGAGGCTCGCCTTAGTTTTGGAACTGCCTCTGTGTGTGGCTGAAAGGCTTTTGGGTGGATGGCTAAAGTTGGGAAGTAGAAGGTCTGTGGATGTTGGATGTCACGACAGCTAATTGAGAGCCACCTCTAATTGAGAGCCACCTCTGGGAATTTTTAGGTAAGGGGGGGAGGGGAGAAATCTCAGGGACTAAAGGAAATGCAAGTTTCCAGAGAGATGGAAAGAAACTTGCACTTGGGACACCAGCTGCTGCAGTTGTGCTTTGAGGGTGAATCTGCAGATCCTGCTGTTCAGCCAGTGCTCTTCACATGCAAACAGGCACTGTGGAGAAGTGTGTGAGAAATCGGGAAAGGATTTGCTAGCACTCAGCAGCTGCTTTTTTGCTAACAGATTTTGGTGGTTCATGGAGAGTCTTCCAGGTGAGGCTCTCTGGAAATTTAACCAATCTGGATTTAGTGATATGATTTTTTTCCACCCCCCTTCTTGAGATCTGTTGTAAATTCTGCAGTGGCTCCTTCCTACCAGTGTGGCCTAATGGGAATATGAATATCAGAATGCAAAAATCAATGCAAAATGACAACCATCTTTGTAGCTGTAACCACAAATTGTTATAATGCGAATCTAACTCGAATTCTTCATGTAGGGAACAGTCTGCTAATAAAGGTCTGTAAAAGAGATACCATGTGTCTGCATGTCTTTCCCAATGTGTTTTATTGGTGCTGTTTGTCACCAGACTCTTCCTGGGATGATTCTCATCAAGGATTCTGGCACTGGGAAGGATTCTCCCTGTGAGGACCTGGGAGAACAGAATTCTTAAAGGCAAAAGCAGCAAAGCTGAGATCAAGGTGGATGATGGTAGTGATGAGTCAGGGATGTTCAGATACTGTTAACCTGTCCCTGAGTGTTGCTGGACTTTGCTCTGTCTGTGCAGTATCCATAACTCTCTGTTCAGGAAAGTGCATTTCCCAGAAAAGCTGGAAACTCTTCAGTTCAGTGATGCCCTCACAGAATCATTTAAGGTTGAAAAAGACCTCTAAGATCATTAAGTCCAATGGTCAACCCAACACCACCACGCCCACTAAACCATGTCCCTAAGTGCCACATCTACACGTCTTATAAATAACTCCAGGGATGGTGACTCAACCACTTCCCTGGGCAGCCTGTTCCAATGCTGGATATCCCTTTCAGTAAAGAAATTTTTCTTAATATCCCATCTAAACCTCCCTTGGTGCAACTTGAGGCCATTTCCTCTTGTCCTGTCACTTGGGAGAAGAGACTGACACCCACCTCACTGCAATCTCCTTTCAGGAGTAGAGAGCAATAAGGTCACCCCTCAGCCTCCTTTTCTCGAGAACCTGGCTTTACAGGGTTTTCAAAAGACAGGCTTTGTGCAATGTTTTCTTAAACAAATAAAAAAAACCCCAACCAGGAGCTATCCTGAAGGTCACTCAGGAAACACACCTGGTAGTGCAAATGGCCTCTGATTTGGGTAACAAAACTTGCCGCGGGGACCAGACTGGCTTTGTTGGTTCCTTATGTCTCTGACTGTAATTCAAGGCTTTTATTCAGCTATAAATCATCTTCTAAAGTCTGGGTCCTTGTAATCTGAGCCACTGCTCTCCAGCGGTGTCAGCTTCGGTCAGCTGAGACGCTTACCCACGCTCTCTGGACTGCAGCGCTCAGGGCTGCTGGCAGCATCCCCTCTCGCACCTCGCTGCCCTCTCCTACCCTTTCTTTTCTTTCTTTTCTCCTACCCTTTTAGGAAGAAGTTCTTCACTGTGAGGGTGGTCAGACACTGGACCAGGTTGCCCAAGGAAGCTGTGGCTGCTCCTCCCTGGAAGTGTTCAAGGCCAGGCTGGATGAGGCTTTGAGCAACCTGGTCTAGTGGAAGGTGTCCCTGCTGCTGGCAGGGGGGTTGGAACTGGCTGATCTTTAAGGTCCCTTCCAACCCAAACCATTCTATGATTCTCTGTCTCGCTTCTCCAGGTGGGGCTTATGTTTCATGTCACAAGCTGATAAAGATGTGTGTGCAGCGAGGGCTGGCCAGGTACCAGTGCCCTGAGACCAGGAGGGAGTTGGCTGTACTTGACCTTATAAAACTCATTTTTAGGACAGGAATCGGGCCAAAGGCTGAGCTGAAACGCTGCCCAGGACACGCTGCCATACGGGGACAGGCACCCTGGTGCTGCAGAGGGAGGAGCAGAGCTGTCTTCTTCACTGTGTTCCCTCCAGCTTTTCTCTTTTTCTTCCTTTTTAAGGAAGAGAGATATTTTCAGTGCTTAATTACTAGGTTAGAGCTGAGACTGAATTACTTTACAATCACGCAGCAAAAGCAGGCTCTTTTTAAACCTCCCCTGCTTTCACAAACACAGAGGGACAGAGCTGTCCTCCCCCTGGGGCCGGGGTGTGATAAGGGGTGTCGGAGCACAGGGGCTGTCCCGCAGGCATGGAGAGAGAAACTTGAGTCTTGGGACTGGAACCTTCTCACCTCCAGAGTGCTGAGCTTCCTGGGAAATGAGGAAACATGCATTTTTTCTCTGGGAAGGTAAAAATCCAGCCTGGGCTAGGTTAGCACCCCCTCATCTCTGGCCTGAGGATAATTTTTCAGCATTGTCCTGTTATATTGCAAACCTTGCTGGGGCTGGAGGTTATCGGGAAGCTTTCGCCTGGTCCAAAGGGTTTGGGTGGGAACATCTGCCCCAGCTGGGCTGCTTCTGGCAGTCAAGCTGCTCTCAGGAGAATTGGGTGGTTGCTTCTAGCTAAGACTCTTCCTCAGACTGTACAGTTAAAGATAAATTTCTAACCTTTTATATATTCCAGTTACTCATCAAATGCTTGGTGCACTCATTTAAAACAGTTAATGATTGCCCTCTCCTGGTTAGCCTCCATTACTGCTTCATTGAAGTACTGCTTTTTTAGTTGAGCTCTTGCGAGCTTGGTGTGAAGCTGAGCAGACTGGAGTCAGCACTGAAAACACTTCCACGCGTCACCTTGTCCTGCATCCCTCATTGCTTCAGGTTGACTTTTCCCGGCTCCTAGTTGAATGATGCACAAAGTGAACTGAATGTTCAATTCCTTTTTGCAAGCCCCTGACCTCTGCAGAACCCCTGCTCTCCAACATCTCCACAAGGCATCGAGTTTGAGTGAAACTTTTATTGCCTCGGGTGGTGTTCGTTACCCGCCCTTCCAGGCTGCTGTGTCCCTGGAGGAGGTGACGCTGTGACCGCAGCCGCGGGCTCCGTGCACGGGCTGTTTCGTTTGTCATCTTCTTTGGTTTGACACAGCTCCTTCCAAAACACCAAGGGGATAAGTTGAACTGTCAGCGCACCAGCAGGAAAGAATTTACTGAAGAAAGGAGTATTTTTATTTTCCTTTTTATCTGATTATAAGTCTAAGAGGGCCTAGAGAAGCTACGGGCTTCCCCACGCTGCCCCGGGCACGGATGCTGCTTGTCTGGGTGCTGAGCTGCTGCTGGTGCCATTTTCCATGGCTGGGCTGTAAAGAGGAAACCAGGTTTCTGGAGCAGAGCTGTGCTATGCTGGTGGGTCAGCAAGCTCAGAAGGAAAGTGGGGTTCAATCTTTTTAAGAAATAAAAAGCTTATGTTACCCAGGCACTCAGAATTAGTGTGGTTTAGGCTTTGCTAATGCCTTGGGCTGACATAGGGATGCGTGAGTCTCTGCTCTGTTCTCATCCATCTCTTTCAGCCTGGTGACAAAAGTCCCCAAAATATTTTCTGCATTTGTTTAATCTATTTCATTCTACTCCTCAAATGCAGTGTCCTGCCTCGTGGCCAGGCACAAAACCCTTCTCTGCTAACAGCAATTGCCCTGGAGCTTGTAAAGACAAACAGTTCTGGCTGATTCCACTCATCCTGGCTTTCTCTAAATGTAATTTGCCTTGCCCAATTTTAAATGGGATCCAGCTGTTAATGTGAGGAGCTGGGCTCTGCCTCCCAGGTGCTGCTTGTTGCCTAACGAGGAGAGGAGACCTGCCCCTGCCTCAGCCCCAGCCCCACCATGAGGATTTCAACCAGTGCCTGTGTCCCTGTCCCCAGTTCCCCCAAACCTGTGGGGGATAATTCTAAGAGCAGTATGTTGAGGCTGGGGAGTGTTGGGGGGTATGTTGGGTCCTGTTCAGCAGCTTGGAGTGGGGTTTTGGGTACTTCTGGAAGCTCAGAGGCTCCTGCTGTGGATGAGCAAACAGCCAGGACAGGAATGGACGGACAGGACAGGGAAAGGTAAGAGATTTTTTCACCCTTCTTTTTGCAACAGGGACCCCTGTCAAGCTGGCTTGGGGACTGGGTCATTTGCAGGACAAAATGTCCTAAATCAGGTGGCAGAGGTTGGGACTGGGGCTGGGTCTGGTTAACGTTTCAATGGAAAAACTAAAGGGAAAATTATGGTTTTGTGGGATCTGATGGTGTTGCCTCTTTCCTGATGTCCCATGGGGCCAGGAGCTCAGGGCTGGACCCCAGCCCAAAAGGACCCTCTGGGCTGGACACCCCCATGCTGGGGAGGGAGGGGGACTGGCTGGAGGGATCTTCCTGAACCCCATTTACAGCCACTCACACAGCACCTCGGGGTGCCAGGAAAGCAAATCCTGATCTCAAAACAACCCAAGGTTTTTAGGGGTTTAAATTGCTGAAGTGGGGCTGTGCAGCACCTCAGGGTGCTGGCCCTTCCTGCCCCTTGCTAGGGGTGGCTGGCCTCTGCTGGGGGGGAAAAATGGGGAATTTTGGAGCAAGAATCCTGTGCTTTAACTATCCCAGCCCTGGCAGTTTTCCCACTGCAGACACTCAGGTGCAGGTATTTGCTTTGAGGACTCAGGTATCTGTGAGGGGTGTTATTTTAAGCCACCATCGCTGTTGAAGCAAGCCTGCCTTTACTTAGTCCCCTCAATCATTTCCACCACCTTTAAAATCTCTCTCTGAAACCCCAGTTTGGTGGCTGGAGCTGCAGCCCGGGGTCTTGGCACCCCTGCCTGGGTTGGTGGCTGTGGTGGCTCTGCCCACCCGTCAACATCCACGTACCGTTTTCCACGGCGCGTACACGATCTCCTCTTGGCTCAGCCCCAGGCGCTTGGCTTGGTGCTCAAACTCTTCCCGGTGAGCTGTGCTCACACTCAGGTTTCGGGCTGGGAAAGGAGAAGCATTTATCAGGTGTTAAATGTGGACTGGTGGCCTTGGCGTGGCCCTTCATGCCACATCCCTGCCCTCTCTGCCTCCCTTCCCTGTGCTCCCGCCAACGCTTGCTGCTGCTGTGGTCTCTGCTGGGGTCTCGTGCTCTGGTGAATACACCTTGGGCGTCACTTTTTTCCACCCTCTCCCCAGTTAGCTCTGGTCTTGTCTGCTTTAGGGGGCTGCAGGATAGTCTGAGACTCCTGGAGCATCAGGAGTGATCAGGGCTGAGTGTGGAGGTGGTTTGCTAAATGTGTTTTTTGAACTCTTAAGCAACTGCTTGGCAGCTTGGAAGGGCAATGGGAAACCTTATCAAGGTCTAAAACGCTGCTTGGTGGGGTTGTGGGTAGATCTGATCAGCTTTGCCTGTGTCAGTACTGCAAAGCCACGTGCTCTGCCCTGGGAGGTAAGTAACAAAAAATCATGGTTGGCTTGAAAATATTGAGATTTGGCAATGATACCGGTGCTGAACTGTACGTGCTTCCTGCTCTCTGGGTGTTTATGGCGTAAGTGGGTTTTGTCTTTAACTTGCTCTTCCTGCTCTGCCAAAAGATTTCGGTTTTAATGGGATTTGTAAATACTCCCGTGATCCTGGGAGTGGTGGTCTCAGGAAAATGAGTGACTGTTGGTGGAAACCAAGCTGCTGTGTGGTTTTAGCTGATAATTTTAGGTGCCTGTTTTGGTGTCCCACTGTAGCTTTAGGTTATTTTAGGGTGGAGTTTACATACCATAGAGATACAGTCCCAAATACGTCCTTTCTCTTTGCAGTTGGTACTGGATGAGTAAAAGGTCTTCAGAGCTGAGGTTCATCAGTGTCCCCACAGTTTGCTGGGTCTTGGCTTCAAGAGAAGAGAATCAATCAGGGTTGGGAACAGCAGTGATACTCAAATTTGCAGTGCTGCAGCAGTGACAAACTGCAGCCTGGGCATGGGCAATGCCCACAGTCCCTGGGATCTGACGTGGTGCGAGTCGTTTGGCTCTCAATTTATGTGAATTTTATTTCCTAAGTGTGGGCCTGGGGTGTGAAGGAGCCAAAGCCACCCAGCTCCTGTGTTATGGTTGCAATGTGCTGGGCTCGCTGGGGCTCGAGGTGTGAGCAGGGGGAGCTGCAGAAAAGTGAATCAGCTCTGCCCTGCTCGCAGCGACGTGGACTCGGTGTGGTCAGTGCAAACTGCAGCTCTGGGGTTTGCAATTCCCACCCCAAACGGCTCACCCCCTTTCCTCAGTGAGGAGGAAACGATTTCAGAGCTGAAACCTGCTGTAAATGTTGCCCTCCTCTCCCACAGGGATTGTGAAATGACTTTACAAACGAGGCGGTCTCCTTCCCTGCAATGCCAGTGGGTTTGCTCATTGCTGTGTGGGGTTTAGACCCGGGGAGCTGTTTGGAGTCCACTGAGGCTTCATAGTGACCCAGGAATAAAATGCATCAGATGATGTAAGACATGGACATGGGCCCTTTGTGTGTCTCAGCTTGTGAGAAAAATGGGTTGTGATAACCCCGACAGCCGTGCCCGCTGGTGCTGCTCACCGTGCTTCACCAGCGTGGTGTTCCCAGCCCTGATTTCAAAGTAGGTGGAGTTGTTGGTGAGACATTGGTCCCCCCTGGAGAGAGAGGGAGAGAGGGGAAGGAGTGACATGGGGAAGGAGAGTGGAGACCCTCCACGTGGCTGGAAAGGACCAGCAAAGCCCTGGCTCTGTCCCTGCACGGGGCACGTGTCCCCGGCTGTGAGACGGGAAGGCGGCTGTGCTGGCTCCTCTGCAGGGTTGAAATAAACCTTTTCTCCCTGGCATTGCCTGACCTCCACCCACAGCTCGTGCCCTCAGCCTGGCCCTTGCCCTGGCTCCTTGGTGCTGAGATGTTTTTCACCCTGGTGGTGCTGGCACAGAAAAAATTCATCCCCTTAAGCTCTGACCCTGGGGAGGGAGCAGCTTTTGCTGCCTGGCAGAGTTAGCAGCCGCTGCACAGGGACCTCTGGAAACGTCTTCTGCTATGGAGAGGTCTTCTCCTTGTCAGTATCCTCCACATTTGCAGGGCTTGGTGCCTGCAAGAGCCCTGTGCCCTGCAAAATTCGCCTAAACCTGGTGGCTGTTGGAAGAAATAAATCAACGAAAGGGTAAAGAAGAGAGGGGATGGGAGATCATGCACGGAGCAGCCAGGAGAGACTCTCTCTTTGGGAAAACCAGCATGAAACTGTGCTCATGTTGTGTTGGGATGGCTGCGAGGGCTGCAGCGTGCGGGAGGAGAGGGGTTGGGGTAGAGACCCCGGGGGCTGCATCTTACACGGCCACGCGCTGGGTGATGAGCAGCTCCCGCTCCCTGGCACGGGGCTCCACGTCGAGGTGGCCGTGGTCGATGAGCAGCAGCTCCAGGAGGTGCTGGGGGAACTGGGCAGCCCCAGCCACGTACAGCCACGTCCCCAGCAGCTGTGGGGAGAGAGGGGCAGGGTGATGAGAGCTTTGGGGTTTGCAGGGGGAGCTTTGGGGAGATTTCCATCCTTCCCGTGGTGAAATTGTTATTTTTGACCTCGGGTCTCTGCTGAGCTCTCCCTCTTGTGCTGCACTGACAGCAACAAAATGAAACCTGTGCAAATATCCAGGGGGGAAAAAAAATAGCTGAACGTGGGGATTGGGAAATGGTGCTGGTGTTGGCTGCAGTGCCCTGGGTGGTGCAGAAGGGTCAGGACAGTCCTGTGCTGTCGTGGGAGATTTACACCAAAAAATACCCAGCCAGCCCCCCTTGTTTGGACGTCACCTTTGGGACCTGCTGGGTGCCCGTGAGAAAACGGGCTAATTCGAGGTGTTTTGGAAAGCAAATGTTTCCCATTTGTTCCAGATGTTTTCCTGAGGGTGCCTCAGCAGATGTGCTGGGGGGGTAAGGGAGGGTTTCCCCCTTTCCCAGGGGACAGTGAGGTTTAGCAGAGGACCCACAAACTCGTTGCTGGAGTGGGGCAGCCCCGTGGGGCTCAGGTCTCTCCTACCTTCGATGCCGTGGTGTTGTCCGTGGTGTTGTCGGGGTGCTGTGGGCGGGGGGCTCTGCAGGGGAAGGTGACCACGGGCAGCAGTGCCATGAGGTTGAGGATGGCGGCGACCCCGACCGCAGCCCGAACGCAGCCCCGGACAGACGGACGGACACGCTCGCTCGGCCGTTTGCTTTTGCAGCTGCGAGGGGGGACGGGACGTGCCAGGGGCTGGTGGCTCTGCCCCGGTGACGCAACCAGCGCCTTTTGGGGACGTGGCCAAGGCAAGAGCCGCGTGTCCGGCACTGAGCTCAGCGCTTGCCCTGGCCTCGACCGTGGCTGCCGGTGGTGAGCACCCATGGCTGTGGCTGGGGGTGATGGGGGTGATGCACTTGCTGTGTTTAAAATGCAAATCTGCCCTAAATTTGCCTGTTTTGTTCCCCGTGAGCAGCTGCCATAGTTCCCTCTTGCTCTACAATGAGGCACCGTGCAGCCCCTCACCCCGGGCTGGCTGGGGCGCAGCCGCCCCCCACCTTGGGTGAAGCCTGGGGGGCTCAGAGGGCCACCTGGGCAGGAACGTGTTTTCCCCATCTTTGCCAAAACAGGCCATAAAAATGGGGCTGAAAGGGCCCCAGGAGGTCACCCCCATCCTGCTGGATGTGTCCCCTGCAGGGGATTCTCCAACCCCCCCATCCCACTCTGCTTTTCTGCCTTTGTTTCTGTTTGCCTTCTCCTCTCTGCTAGCGGAGCCTCCCCAGGTCCCTCAGTCTGACCCTGATTGATGGTTTTTCCCATCGTCTCCCCCTTCCCCTGCTCAGAGACACCCGGGGATGGCGCGATGTCACCCCATGTCACCCCACCCTGCTGCAGCCCCTGCACAAACCCCTGGTGCAGGTGGAGACTCGTGGGATTTCACTTGAAAAACTCGAGGTGGGATGTTTGGGTGCTCAAAGCACTCTGCCTGGTTTGAGTCACGCTGGAGGAGACCTGAGGGGGTCAGCAGGTTTGTGCATCTCCCCTTGGGGTTGGGGACAATGAGTGGGTGCTCGCTTGTGTCCCGATGCCCCGTGGCTGGATGGGATCCATCAAGTTGGGTGGCCAGGAGGGTCCTGTGGAGCTGGCAGGAGAGATGAGTGTGTCTGTGCCCGTTGCCATGCTTGGTGGGGTTTTGTCCAGAGGTTTTCATGCCCCACAGCAGGTTTGGAGCAGGAGGGACAGGTGGTTGTAACATGGAGGTTTATTTTGGGTCCAGGTGAGAACAGGAGGAAAAAATGAAACCTCAACAGAAAGTCCTGAGGCTGAGCTAAGCCCGGCTGGGGCTGGCGATGGGGACATCCCCGTGAAGGGGCTGGAGGAGGATGAGGATGGAGCAGCTGATCCAGCTCACAGGGGTTGCTCCGGCTGTGGCTCCGTGTCACCTTCACCTGCTTTCTCCCCGGGCAGGGGACAGGCGTCCTGGGGAGAGAGGGAGAGTGGCTGTCAGTGCCCCTTTGTCCCAAAACCACCCAAAGAGCTGGGAATGACCCAGGAGGAAAGGGGCTGCAGGAAGGGAACCGATCTTACATCCCACCCAGGACCCCTGTGCCAGGCAGTGGCAGGAGCTGGCCTGGGCTGGGGCTCGCCCACCCTGGGGAGGGGTTCAGACCTTTTCAGACATGAAGAACACCTCATCCTCAGTGAAGCCCAGGCAGTGCAGTTGGGCTTTGAACTCCTCCAGGTGCTCCTTGCTTACATTGGGCGTCCGAGCTGCCAGAGAAATGAGGGGGTAAAAAGAGAAGGGGGAAGGAGAAAAAGGAGTTTTAGGGGGTGTTTTGTTCCTTGGTGGTCCCTGTGGTGTGGATGGGGTGATCACTGCCTGCCCACCTCCACCTTTCCCCTCTCTGTATCAGGGGAAAAGGAGCTTTTTGCCCTCACAGCGAGGGCTGGGGATGCCCGTGCCCATCCATGTGTCCCCAGGCAGGGATGTGCCCCACAGATCCTGGCCAACATCCACTCACCTGAGAGGCTCAGACCTGGGAAGTTGGCATTGAGGTGCTTCATGATCAGCAGGTCCTTGTCACTTTGGATCAGCTTGGCCATGGAAGTCACCTGCCCATTGACTGGAAGGCACAGGGAGAGCAGGGTCCCCCATTGGCAAGTGTCACCCCATGCCAGGGTTCAGCCCAGGCAGAGTTGGCAGCCCAATGGGGGCTGCTCACCCCCTTTATCCCAGGAGACTTGTCCCAGTGGGGCCTGGTTGGGTCCCACAGTGCTGCTGTTCCCCCTCCCTCTGTCTGTAAAATGGCCTTGTGCCAGGGGCTCAGGGTGCCAAATACTGGGGGGCAGAAGCAGGAGGGTGCAAGGTGCAGCTGGGGTGCCCCCCACCCCATCCCAGCCCCACGCTGCGGTCAGGGCTTTACCGTGCATCAGGGTGGAGTTGTGCTGAAAGACATGGACCTTGCTGGTGTTATCCACCACGCACGTCTCGTTCCTGCGGGGCAGAGAGGTCAGATGGGACAAACACCCCACAGGCTGCCCCTACCAAACCCCAGGGATTCAGAACTCAAGCCGGGCTGTGGAGCTGAAATAAATTTGGCATAGGTGCCCTCCAGCCCCAAATCTGTGGGGGTGTCTCAGCCCAGAGGATGGTACCAGTGATCCCGTCCTTACAGTCTCATGATTTCGGTGACGTTGAGCTCGTCCTCGTGGCTGCCAGGAGAGAAGGAAAAAGTCGCGTGCTTTATCGCCTTCAGCTCCTCCAGGTGAGGTGGGTACTTGGAGGCGCCGGCGATGTAGATCCACTGTCCCAGGATCTGTGGAGAGGAGGGGAGCAGGGAAGGTTGGGGGGGCCATGCCAGGATCACCTGTGGGCACTGAGCGAGCCAAAGCAGGGTCTCTGTCCTTGATGTCCTGTGGCCACCAGCACCCCTGGTAGGTGAATGTCCTGGCAGGGTCTGGGCTGGGTGAGGGGCTCTTGGTTTGGTCCCCTCCCCACTATGGTGATGCTCCAGCTCCTGGGATGGCCACCTCGTTTCTGTGGTCGTGTCCCTCCTGCTCTGTGCTCAGCTCCTGTTGCTTTCCTCCCATTGAATGTCCCCAAGGGACTAAATATTGTTTATGCAGTGAAGGGTTTTGTGGATGGAGACTCGTGACCCGAGTCCCTGTCACTAGAAGGATCTAAAATAGAGCGGTGAAGCACCGGGGACGGTGCCACCCAACCTGGTTTGGGTGGGGAGATGGAAGCAGGAGCCCCCTAAAAGCGCCTGCCTATGAGTTTATGGGTGCAGAGCTGCAAGGCTTCACCCTGTCCCCATGCTCCTGTGCATCAGTCTTGAGGTTTTGGGTTGATAAGGATGGACAGACAGTGAGATAAGCACTGAGCTGCTGATTGGGTTCATAACCTCTTCATGGACCCCTAGCAGCCAGTGATGCTGATAGGAAAGGAGAGGACAGGACAGGAGTCCCGACTGAGGGCACAGCTTACCCCAGGGATGGTGGCATTGTCGAAGGTGACCGGGACGATCGTGGTGCAGCTGGGGGGCTCGGCGGTGAGCGCGAGGGGCAGCCCCAGGAGGAGGGTGAGGGTCGGCAGCATGGCCTGGCTGGCTGGGAGGAGGCTCCTGCTCTGACGGGCTGTTGCTCATCTCAGTCCCTTATATACGGCCGCCTGCAAAGCTGGGTGTCCCCAGCCCCGATGTGCTTGTTTAGCTGCTGGGCTGTTTGCTCAGGCATGAAGCAACAGCAGGTGCAGGAAATTAAACTTGCAAAAGCTTGGATTTCTCCAGCAGAAAAGATGAAAAAAATAACCCCCAAGAAACAAACCCCAAACCACAAATCAACCCCCCCC